CTTAATAATGCTTAAACCAAAAGTTTATAAACACCAAAAAAAAAGAAAGGTCTTTTTTTTTTTTTTTTTTTTTTGTGCTATCTGAAGTTAAATCAAACCAAACATTTTTTGTTGTTGTTGTTGTTTTAGGTCAGTTAGAATTATCAAAATTATTTCTATTTGCTAAATGCCACAATAATCAGAAAGAGAAATGTTCCAGCTCCTCCTGCCCCACAACAAGATGATGCCACTCCCATGCTTCACCATGGCACAAGCACCCCTGCTTTTCCTCCAAATGTAATGATGGTCATTATGGCCAAACAGATCCACTTTAGTTTCATCCGACTACAGTACTTCTCATGTCTCCAAAAACTAAGTTCTTTGTCCCTGTGTGTATTTGCAAACTGCAGTCAGTTTTATTGTGCTTCTTTTGGAGTTTTTCCTTGCTGAGGGGCCTGTCAGCCCATATCGCTTCAGGACATGTTTAGATGTAACAAACATCAAGATCTCAAGAAGAAAGATAAGTAAATAAAAAGATAAATGGAGCATTGTTCTCTCCAAACAGTCAGTGCTTTTACGTTATGTCAGTGGAGGTTTTGTCGTAATTTAATTTACCGATGCTTACCGATCACCGCTCCTTCCTGGTACATCCAGTCCACGGTGCAGCCCACCTCAGTGAATACTGCTGTGAAGAAAGGGCTTCCTGCCAGCACGGTGTGAGGAGTTTTACACAACAACTTTGCCTCCACTTCCTCTGATCCCACACAGACTCCTGCCGGGTCAAAGTTTGGAGTGTCCTCTGCAAGCCACTCTCGTGCAAGCCGGGTCAGGCTGTAGGTTGGAATCGAATGGACCACTTGTGCTTTTGGTCCAGACATGCTACAAACCTGCATTTAAAGAAATGTATGCTGTAATTATCTAATCTTTTAATGAAAGTAGGAACCAAAATTAGGCTACGCATTGTCAAATCAATTTTTTTTTTGCCTGTGACTTTAAGTTTTCTTATGAACTGACACATTTTTCTGATTTCTGTTTTTATTCCTGTTTCCAGTATAGCAGCTGCAAGAAGACTAGATTACACAAGAAGATAATTGTGACTGAGTAATGTCTCACAAGGTCCATTTAGACTCATCACCCTTCTGAGTCAAAAAATGAACTTTTGCTCAGTCTGCAACACAAAGCAGCATGCTTAAAAGTTCTGCTTCCTTTGTGCTCTGCCATACTCTAAGCTCCAACCTAGAACACAAAGGAATAATACACAGTATACTAGGCTGGGACTGCAACAGCATGATAAATGCAAATGAGATGCATACCTTCTTCTCTCAGTGGCTCTCTGTGTCTGTAGATCCCAGGCTGCAGAGGGACAGAAGTGAGCACACATGGCCCCAAGCAAAATGTGGCGTGGAATTTGACCTTGTGTCCATGTTGGAATGTTTACAGGCGCACTCAGAGGCCACACCATAGGATTAGCATTGATTGTTTTTATTGATTAACAGGCCTCTGAATTCAGGTTTTGTTGCAGAGAAAATTCATTCTAGTTCTATGCAATCAAATCTGGAGCTTATTTTCCCCCACTGAGTTCTGTTTGCTTTGATTTAGTTTGTATAATCTGACAAAAAATTTTAATCTAAAAGCCTTTTGCAGAGAATTTCACAAGATAAAATGCAGAGAAATATATACATTACACTACATTTTTGCTGCCATAACCTGGTATGGTATTAAAATCATGCATATTCCATTTCACTTCAGTGCAGTTTATTGATATTGGTGGTGATTAACACAAATATAACCTCAAAAGTCTAGTTTAACATTTTCACTACAGTCTAATTTTAAGCTTATTGCCAGTTATCTATATATAAAAATCTCACAAATTGCTTAGATCTTTACTTTAATTTGATGACCCATTATGAATAAACACAATGCAGAGGATAAAACACGAGTTTCCTTTAAGAGGAGAGCCGAACTCGGCCTCGGCAGGAAGAAACCCCCAGCAGAACCATGCGCAGGATGAGCCAAGGGCTGCAGTGAGGACAGGAAGGAAACATAAATAAATACAAAAGCACCAGGCCAGGAATACTTTCTATGGTACAGAAAAAGAAACAAAAGTCAAAGTTAGTGGCAACTATGCCTCACTCTATGAGTTAGGCAGCAATAGTTCTGCATTTCTTAGATGGTAGTAACTTTTATCTGCTGATAAGAATTTAGAGTTGGTAATAAAGCAAATGTTTTCACTGAAGGACTAAAGCAAATGCAATATAATCTGAATTTATCTTATAAGGCTTAAATCAGAACTGTTTTTTTTTCTAAACTTCATATTTCAATACTGTATTGTGCACTCAAAGATCCTAAAGGAGGTACTTAATGGAAAATATCACTTGCTGTTCTTTGTAGTCAAAATACTGACTCAGTATTTTGACTTTTGTAGAACCATCTTTCATACTGAAAGTCTTTCGTTGGATGTTGCTATTAGCTTTGTACAACAATTAAGAGTGAATCAGGCTAGGGTATGGAGGTACTATGGTCCTCCATAGTTGAACGCACAATTAAAGGGGGATAAAAAGAAACGTTTTTCCATTTGTGCATCATTTGCCAAGTATTAAATATTGTTACAATGCGCCTCATCATGTGTCGCTTTTAACATCCTAGCACAGAAACATCGGTAAACTCTGTGTTTAGTATGTAGATTTGGAGGATATATAGGTTACAAGCATCAAAGAGCACAATGGCAGGAAGTACAGTGCGTGCACAATGCGCGGGCACGTTTCCCCTTTCAAAACATCGATGACGTCACATCACGAAGGCCATATCTTGACGGCGCGTTCTCGACGCTCTCGAGCACGAGCCGGACTTCCACCGCCTTCAGAGATCAGGAGCTAGAACCAGGAAGCGAAAGTATACACATGGAGGGTGTGTCTGGCCCCGCCAGCACAGGTTTTATTTGTAAAAACACCGTCCTCCGCGGTTAATTTAATGGGGGACACGGCGAAGACCAAGCGGCGGGAGCAGTTGAAGCGCTGGGCCGGCTCCAGCACCGACAGAGCGTCGGACGTTCCCCGGCGGAGGTGGCGGGGCGATGCCGGGGAGGGAGAAGGGGAGGCCGAGGCCGAGCTGAGTGGCGACCCGCCGGGGGATCAGCAGCCAGAGTCAGCGGGCAGAGATGAAAGCAGCCCCATCCCGAGTGGACGGTGAGGACACAGCTCAGTCCAACTGTTGGACAGCAGCAAAAAGGGAAAAGTCAGCCTATTATAGTATCAGGAGTTATCTAATCAGGTTTTGTTCACTGCTGCTCTGTGCTGAGCCAGATCTCATTTTATCTGCTCAACATGTTTGTCATGGATCTTTTGGGGAGTACTTTAGGTTAGCCCTGCTTGTGTGTAGTCAGTCTACCATTAACACTTGCATTCACCACAGTTAAGGAGGGGTTGATTCAGTGATTTGGGGGATCCACTGCATTCATTGTTTCCCAGATTTTTAAAATCTGAACCAAGCTGTCCTTTTTGATGCTTGATATCTGTTATGTTTCTTTCTGTATATTTTGCTTCCTTGGAACCAAACTGGTAATGGTAACGTTGTCCTTTTCATACCCAAATCCCAACCTGCTTTGGAGACATTTTGTACCCACTTACAACTAAAGATGTAAAATAATATTCTCCAATCAACTCATACTTCACTGGAAGGAAATGTGGTCATATGACTCTGATAAGCAGTATCTGTCAGAAGAGGATTAATCAGAGTTGTTTTGGTTTGGACCTCAGATTTTCACCTTTCAATTCTAATTTATTGTTTTTCTGCAACACATAGCAGCAGAAATGTGCTGCAGGTTCTTAAGGTAGCACCTTTGAATCCAAGAAAATAAAGCAATTACTACAACAAGTTGTCATTAGATCATATTTTCCTTACTACTGGTTTATTTAAATCCATAATAAATGTGCATTAAAGTAAATACTGCTGGGTGGTCTGGTTATGGACTAGAAATAGATATTCTTAGTTTTGACACCTTTGATGACTGAAAAAAAAGGTTACTTTTAGTATTTCAAGGTTTCCCCCAGAAAACTTGCTAAGTCCGGTGGTTGGGGCGCTTGGCAGTCATTCATCCAGAGGCCTGCCGTGTTTTTGAGTTAAAAAAGGTTTTAAGTTTCAGGAAATTTGAAAATAGCACTTGATAAGTATGTGTTATTGGAAGATTAATGTCTGAACACCAACTATAAAGTCTATAAAAAATGCAAACATTAAAAAAAAAACCCTGAAATAAATAAACAATGCTAAGCCTGGTGGGGACACAAGCAAAGCCTGGTGGCCTGCCAGGCTTACAATTAACTGGGGGAAACCCTGTATTTGTTATTTAGCTCAGACCTGATCAAGAAAAAACTTGCTATCCCACTGTCTGAACACCTGATTGGCCAATCTCTACAAATAAGGTGTTGTACAAATCCTCAGAAAATTAGTTGCCGTTTCATCTGCACCATATTTCTCCTAGTAATGCCCCCTAAACAGCTTTCCCCGCCCCTGCTCAAGAAAAGCATCCCCTCTGCATGATGCTGCCACCACCATGTTTCATTGTTGGATGGTGTTTTGTGGGTTAAGTTCAGTACTGGTTGTCTGCTACAAAGAGTTTTGCTTATTAACCGGTTCAACGTTGGTCTCGTCTAATCCGAAGACATGTGCTTTTGATGTCTCCTGTTTGGATTGTGATAATCTGCAAACTGGGTTGAGCCTGTTTATAGCAACTATAAATTGCTCCAGTTTAAAATTTATTTCCATCTTTTTAGAAACCTTTTTTTAAAATGGCCAGTTTAATTAATGAACAACAGCAATGTGGATACTGGTTGTCTGTCATTTTATCGTATTTTAGCAACCTGGATCAACTGAAGGGTTCATCTCTTACTCAGTAAGATTCTTTTTAGACCTCAAATCAGCTACAGAATCACTTTGGTCTCTATTTTCTTACACTGTTTTTGTTGTCAAGCATTTTGCTTTGACTTTTTTGTGATTTAAAGAACATCTCGGCGTGATTGTGTGTGGCTGAGCTGATCAATCAGATTGGTGTTGTGTGTGTTTTGTTTGCTTACCTCAGTCCTACGCAGAGAAGGTATTTACCATCCAGGTATCAGAAATTCCATCTCTTTTGACATCCTGGTTTCGTGCTCCGTGATTACATCAGTAAGTGCAGATAACCTACCAGAACAGAAACAATGTCTGTCCTTCAATATTTCAGGGAGATTTGTACAGGAAGTATTTTTGCTGAAAGCTATTTGCTTTTCTTTTTTCTTTTTTTTTTCAGCATTGCTAGAATTCAAGTTTATTTTTGACTGAACTACTTATGAACTTATGACATATATAGAGTCTGGATTTCAGCTGGGGAAAAGCTGTGACACTGCCATCTTGCCTTTCCAATTTGACTTTGAAGTATTTCAGTTAAAGCAAATCAACTTCTAGGACAAAATGTTCATTTGGTGTCTGTTGTGTTCAAACCCCCTGTTTGAATTAGCAATTAATCGGTTCATCGCATGATAAATTAAAATGACCGTGTTAATTTCCATTTCGATTATTAATATTTTTTTAAGGGACGTTTTGCTTACAGATATTTCATAATGTAATTCTTTTATAGGTCCTGTTGAATGTGGTCTTTATTTCCATTTGTCCAGTACGACAGTGACCCCAAACACACATCAAACCAACTTTTGTTGAATAAACTTTACTTTACTTAACAAACTTGAAGACATCTTATGTAAATATCCAAAATAAAACACAGCGAAAAATAATAAATAAAACAGAAATAAAAACCACACACAACCAAAACCACAAATAAAATGATTTGATTTCTTATATTGCTTATATTGCTTTTCAAAAAACTAAAAATAAATTGAAGCAGAAATAATGACGTTCATATTAATTTCTTACAATTAATTGATTAATTGCTTATTGAGGCAAGCTTATATGTTTGAGTCATGTTTGCATTTGAGAAAATGCTTTATAAATTTAAACTTGTGAATGTAATTCTTGTTTTGTCAGCATAAATGGTTTTATTGAATCATAAAAATCACCAAAACCTTTCTTAATCTTTGAGGACTCATGAAATAGAATCTAATAGAGAGCTGAATCTTCATCTTATTGTCTGTATTTATGGTTCAGCAAATAAACCATAAAGTGGTCCCTACTTTTATCATAAATCATTTCAATCATTTCGGCTGACTTTTCTAGTATTGGGTGTCCCAAAGAGACAAAGATGGACATTTCTGGACCTATTCTGCAGAGTTAGTTGTAATCGTCCCTTTTGTCCGTTCTTAGGAAGAGGGTGAGGTTTGACCGCGCCGCTGAGTTCCTCGCTGCTTGTGCCAGCGGCGACACGGAGGAGGCCAAGGCGATGCTGGAGGAGACCGAACAGTCCAAAGCAGAACGGGAAGACGGAGAGAGTCTGCCAGACATCATCAACTGCTCCAACGCTGATGGCATCACTGCACTGCACCAGGTAACGCAGCTTCACCGCACTGTCGCTTACATCCAAGGCTCTAGAGATGTTTTCATTCTTCCCGTTTTACGATTCTCTGGAGTTTCTTGAAGTCTTAGTGAAACATGGTGCAAAGGTATTGCTTAAATGATTGCAGGACTACATTGCAAAAGGCGTTTTACACAGTGAGTGTGTTTTCTGCTTCTTTGTAGGGCGGCGTGCTTCTTTCCTCGGCAACACAGATTATTGAAAACTTATTGAAAATATTGTTATATATGGAGCGTATCCATGTAAACACACATACGTTGTTTGTGAATGCAGCTTGACAAGTACCTGCAAAAGTTGTGCAGTTGTGCACGTAGATGTGCACACGTGAGCAAGAAAGTTGAAAAATGCTCAAGTTTCTGTTGCTGTTGACGATGTCACGACCTGTGTGTTGAGTTCGCCAGCCGTGGTGGAAACGTTAGCTGTGATTTTGTCATTCTCTGTGTGTAAAGCCCATTAAAATCGCTCACAGATTGTCTGTTAACATCAATTTTCAAACCTTATCTTAGATTCCTGCTTGGATTTTGGTCTGGACTTTAACTAGACTTCTCTAACACATAAATGTGGCTTCGTCACAACCTGACTGTAAATTTAGCATCATTGCCTTCCTAGAATGTGAACTTTTACCCCACTTGCTGCTTCTAAATGGGTTTTCTTTGAGTGTTGCCCTTCACTCAGCTCTGTTCATTTGCCCATCAACTGTAAAATAGAAAAACATGAGAGGACAATATCAGTTGTGATGTGTTCCTGTTTTCTACTTTCCTCTTTTTCAAATTTGTGCTTCCATCACTCTGTGACTGTTAACATTTAGAGAAACGTAACCAATGTCCAGTGTGTGTCTTGGCTGCCGGGAGACTCTGTCCAGCTGGACGAATATTACATCTGCATGAAAAAAATGCAAGTTTATAAAATGTGGAATATATTAGTTAACTATTATTGCACTTCAAGTAGTCCATGATATTGTGATGACCATAAATTAGCATTAAATTGTGCAGGTCTTCCATCAACCGTTATTTTGCTAAAGAAAGCCATACTCGCATCCTCATGCTGCCCCTGCTATGTGCCACATTGTGGGGGTTGTAGGTATTTTTAGTTTTTCATCGCATATCGTATTTTGCATACAAGCTAAGCAGTTTTATTTTTTTGTGCTCTGCTACATAAAATCCTACTAAAATACATTGAAGTTTTGCATAAAACGTGAATAAATAAGCAGCTTGTGACTACAGATGGAATATTATTTTTTTATTTTTTATTTTATTCTTTCATTGTTAGTATATT